AAGGACAGACGCAAAAGCACCTCGGGACATGGGCGCTTTACGTCTAAACCGCTTCCCGCACAATCGTAATGCAGACAAAATTGCAATATCAGTGTCCGTAATTAAGCGAATTTTGCAGTTTCCTAAACATGTCTAGACAATCTGCTTTTATACAGTAGTGCAACTTACTCTAAAGGGACCAGAGGTGAGCTACCAAATTAGTCGGAGGTCAGGAAACAGTGCCATATGCAGGCTGCATAAATAACCCAAATCGATTTCGTTTAAATTATAGGCAACTCTTTGGGACTGGACACAAACATTGTGTTTGAATTTGACTGCAATTTCCTGTATGTCGACTAAACGTATACTGCCGCTATAAAATCCCCCGGGTGCATCTATTCAAATTGCGTATTTATCAAGAAAGGCTGGGTGCGAGAAAGTATCTTTCATGAAACGTGTCACGAAATAACTTGACTGAGGCGAATGCAATGTCGCAACATGTAGAACCACTCAAACAGAACCTTTAAAGACAAAGGATAAGAAATAGCTACTACATAAACTACGCATGCAGTAGTCACATTCCAGATTGAAGACAGGCTCTTGGCCAGTAAGTGTAATTTTTGACCCAAGTGCAATCAACAGCTTCGGAAACCCTAATTCTGTAATGTGCAATAAAAGAATATTCCAGGCGAAATTAAATGTATAGGAGTTAATCAAAACTAGAAGATGTAAGCAATTTTTATAGAAAAAACATTTATTTCGAACATCTCAACAAGAAGCCTCTGCCACTAGTTCCTCCAGCTGCAACACCTTCTTCGTCAGCGGACCCGGTTCGCATGGACCCTGGATGTTGATGACGTGAGTATAACCCCTCTGGTCACCCACAGCTACGAACCATTTCCTTTAAAAAACAAATTTACAAAAAGTACAAGTCAAGCTTACATTTTGTGATTGAAAGCCAAACTCATAACGGCGTTTGACTCCTTCTCCGATCTTTTGGCAAGTTCAAATTTCTTCGCTAGGCTGGCATATATGCTGCTAGCATTTGCATCCGGCGTAAGGTGTGCCTCAGACCCACATGAAATTGAACCGCGCAGGTCAAAAAGGAGGATAGAACCAGCCTCCGCGCCCGCGAGAATGTAAAAGGGATC